ATTTTTTTATAGGCTTGCTAGGTTTTTTAAATTAATGTATCTGAACCCTGGATAGTCAGTCAATAAAATCTACTGATATTAAAACCCAGTCTTTGCTAACCTTGCCTTTTTTCTGCTTCAGACAATTTAAGCAGCAGCTATCTAGTGGGTACAGAAAGTAACTGATTAGTTACCTGCATTGAGATTAAGAGATAGGTTACTTTTTGGAAAGCCACAGTAAAGAGTATGCGGATGCTCTTTATGTTGCATAGTGTTTAAGTGTTTTGGTATGAAATGTGGCATTTAACACATGATATAATGCTGTACTTTATCTATGACTGAAATGCAGGCAGCACTGGAAAAGAAGATGGCTGTTGTTAAAAAGATGATGCATTAAAAAGTAATAAAAGAAGTGATGTTCTCTTGTTATATATAAAGACAGGCTGATGAGGTTATTCTCTTGCTTATTTCTTTTCCCTGGAAGCTGTTTTTTTATCTATCATTTTCCTAGAAGACTTCGGTGAAGTTTCAGCAGGCATATATGACATCAGAGTACCAGAGGAATAAAACATGAATATTCAGAAACATTTTGATATTATAAAACATCAATTACCTTTATTTAAAAGTATTTATCCTAATAATTACTTTCAGAAAATATACCTGCAAAGGATTCAGCATTTCCTGTTCCTTCAGTTGAGTGGTGAGAAGATTTCTCAGCCATTCTCCTGCATCCTTCACGCAGCTTTTCAGGGAACAAGCGAGAGAGAGAGAAAGTAATACTTTATATGCCTGGGAGCTGTAAAAATGAGGATAGGAAAAAGGAATTTGTATTTAAAATAGAGAAGAGCAGATTTCAACCCAATTATTTTTTTCCTTTCTAGGTCACCTATAACAGCAAAGAACAAATACAAAAGAGCAATTTAAAGAAAAAAATAAGTAATGAATGCTAGAATTAAATGAAATAGCAGGAGGAAATTAGGGAGATAATATCAAATGTAATTTTCAAATTTGTACATTGTGCTAACATTCCTGCTTTACAAAAAAAATGTAAAAAAATATCTTTAATGTCTGTTAGGATCTGAGATTTAAGTCCCAGTCAGACATCTCCACATCTATAACTGTTCTTAATATAATAGGCTTATTTTGACATTACCTATTTTTGTGTGTCATACTCAGGAAAGACATGCAGTTGCAATAGAAACAAGAGCAGTTTACGCATATCTTGGTCAAAGTGCTTCGCAGAAGTTTCAGTTTGTTGTGCTGTTGCGCTCACATAATGCCGTTGGAAGGAAAAGGGAAAAATAGAAGGTTGTCAGCCCAAAGCTAAAGGGACAAAATTACTAACATGATGGCAGTGGTTCTAAATGGAGAACAATTTATAATAGTTTTTGTGGTTGTTTGTTTTTTGTTTTTATTTTCCCCCGGAGGCAAAATTAAAACAATGCTTCATTAACATTATTTGAAGCTATTTAAAATATTGACATTTTCATCGAAACAATCTTAACATGGGGTTTTTAAATGGAAAAAAGGCACTTAGGAAAATGTTTTTAATAATATTGCATTCTTTTACCCAAACAGTCCTTTTTTTTTGCCCATTTTTTCACCCTGTTGGCAGAGGAAGATGCCTGCTTTGTGCTTTCAGCACTGAATTGAACCAGTGTGCGTATCGGCCTTATTGGCTAGGACTGGAGCAGTTACGCTGAGGCTAGAGGTCGTGTGGCTCTTCAGACAAGGCTTTATCTACCTTTTAAACTCCCCATTCCACCAACTTGGTTAGAGCCATGATGCTCAACACCAGTAGCAGCCTGTGCAAAACTGCTGTGGCTGAACCTAAATGCAAACTAAAGTACAGGTACGTGAAAGCAGTTCTAGTATTTTATTGTCATAGGTTCCCCCTTCATCATCAGCGTTAGAATTTTACAGCTAGAAGTAGAATAACTGCTACAGGCACTTTTTCCCTCCATTTTCTAAAGTTCAGATCTACACTGGAGTTTTTTATTTCTCCCAAGTTAGCCAGTTTCACGTATGGTACACATTTACGCACCGATTTATGTCACCCAGCCCCATCACAACGGAAGAATCGGGTTTGGAAGAAAGAAGTGGGCTGGGCACAGCCCTGCCAGCTCCTTCCCAATGCCACAGGAGCTATGGATACGTATATGCCCGTGCACTTGCAAGAGGGGAATAAGGAACCTGCATCTGCTATCATCACGCGTGTATGATCAGTACTGATGCTGGGGAAAGCTCCCACCTGTCTGTCTATCCCAAACTCTTATTAGGACAGCAAGAGGATATGATTTTTTTTTTTTTAATTGTTATTTTCTGGGAGTTGTAGCTGTATAGTAATTTAAGATGGCAGCTTTCCAAGGCTTTGCCGTGGTTCTAATTAATTGGGTCCGCTGTTTAATTTTTTAACTCGAGCTTTTTCTCATATTCCAAAAGGCTCCCATTGTCCTTTATTATTAATGAGATCAAAGCAAGCAGAACGGCTGCCGTTTCTTCTTAGTCTGTGGAAGTGAGACAGTCCACAGTAAAAAAGCTCAGCGCTGCCCGCACTGGTTGGCAGGACCGAAAGCAACACCAGCGGCAAAGCGGCTGCCCTTCTTTGGTCAGGTGAGCTGGATGCAGACAGCAGCAGGGTAACACTCTGCAAGAAAAACATACAAGAAAACGAGGAATGGGGCCTGGAGAACAGGGGAAGGACTGAAGGGTTACTGGAGGGTGGGGTGGTGGAGTGTGCAGCACGCAGGGCAGAAAGTCTAGGGGGTAAAAATCAGTTTCCTTTCCTAGTGTGTGAAAAGTTGTGCCTCCTTCAGGCAGCCCAGATAAGGAAAAGAAAAATAAAAAACCCACAAAAGTTGCTGTCAGTTTTGATTAGGGATTTAAAGCTACAATTTACTGTTTAAACTCTCCCACACTTTGGACGGTGGCTACATTATTCCCCTTTCACAGGCTTCCTTTTCTTCCCAGAGTTTTCAAAACTGGTGTTCGATGGGGAAGCATAACAGTTACATTTTTATTAAAAAAAAACCCAGACAACAAAATACCACCAAACTGGACTGCTAAGTGACCCTTGCAAAGGGGCCAGAGGCAATTGTGGTGGGACCTGAGGACAAAGTGAGAGTAATTCAGGAAAGGAGCATCATAAGTAAGAGAGATGGAGGAGAAAACCAGCTGAAAGACAGCATAAAACTAGGATTGGTAAAAAGAATATCGCAGAAGATCTCCGTGCAAGGCAGAATGAGGATGATGGTGGGAAAAATGTGGGGAAGATGTTGTGTGCCAGGGAGTGGGAAGCTATATGGGAGGTATCTTGGCTCGGGGGCCAGCGTTGCACACAGAAGGGCATATTTTGTCCCTCACACAGCGCTCCTCAGCTGCAGTCTTCTCGGCCTTGCGTCATCCCTGCTCAGCTGCAGGGAGTCCCTGGCAAAGGCCCCGCAGAGGTAGCTGTGTAGAGAGGCAGGAGGGAGATGGTTGCCGACAAGGGCCTGTGAGCATCGGGAGGAAGAGCTGCGAAGGAAAATGGCTCAGGGTCACCCCACGTGAGGTGGGGCGAACCCTGAGGAAGGCAGCAGCAGCCGTTCCCATGACTTTGCCTCCAGCATCTGCAGGAACAAAGAAGAGTGAAGCTGGCTGGGCCAAGCTCTTTTTTCTTTACTACTCAAACCTGATTACTTGCAAACCCCGTGACTCATTTGCTGTCCCAGCTCTTTTTCTGCAGTGGTTGGCTGCAGAGTCAACCCGAGTTGGTAAGTATAGCTTTCCCTGTCACCTCCTTGATGGAAATCTGCCAGCAGCTTCCCTGTGGCCGCCACAGGGAGTTCAAGGCGTGGCTGCGTGGGCAAAGCCTTCAGGCCGACGCCTGGCAGCAATAAGTCCTCTTGGTACTGGGAAGTGATCTCTTAGGAGAGGATGATAAACTGCGTGCAGGCACCAATGGAGAAAGACTCATTTGCTCAGGGGCTACAGCAGTATTTGGCCCACTGTGCTCTTTTCTTTGCATGAGAAAGGAAAGGTAATCAAGATTCCAGTAGATTTCATCACGTACAAACAGCCCTTCTCAAAACACCAGGTTCTCTCCCTCACTTGGGAAAAAGCAAGCAAAAACCCCTGAGCTTTCCTCCTAATCCTGCCCTAAAGCAACTCATGGACTGCTAGAGGAAATTCAACAGTTTGTTGGGGCTTGCTTTCTCTTTTTTTTCTGGAAGAGAGCAAAATGTTCCTTCTTTTATGACTGCAGTTCTGCATTCAAGGACCTTGCAAAAAAGAAAGCGTGTTCCTTCTCAAGAGCTCTCAGCAGCTCAGTTCTAGTATGTTGGCTTCCACTGCTTGGACCACACTTGATTTCTGCTGCTGGATTGTTTATTGTCATCTAGGGTCTTACAGAGCCTAAACCAGCCCTGGTATCCTTTGTAGCCTATGTTTCTGCTTCCACAGGGTAGTGCTAGTGCACAAAGAGCAAGGCAAATGCACATTTAAGCTACTCTTCCAAGACATTCCAGTGCCACGCTGTATTCAAGAAGGCAGGGCGGCTCTATTTATCAAGTGAGCTCAATTCCTCCAGAAGACTTTCTCTTGCAGCAATTGCTTTTGCAGCAATATTCAATGCAAAGACCCTTCAGCGTTTCCAAGAGTGTCCTCATGTTAACAATGCTGCTGTGCATGAGTGAATTCCCAATTACTTATACCAAGCACGACTTACGTGGAAGATTTTGAAACAAGATGGAGCCTGCCTGGAACAGCACCCTCCTTTTGGCTGCAGGGTACAGCATCTGTAGCTGGCGCCTGTGCTTGTCTGTCTCTCTCTTTGTTCTTGTGAGTCTGTCTCTTTGGATGCAAAGAGGAAGCTGTTGGTCATACTGTGCTGTCAGTAACTCCAGTGTAAATCCAGCGTAACCCCATTGGGTGCGGGGAAATTCATCTGGATTTGCAGAAGCATAACTTTAGCCCTGTAACTGAATCAACATCTTTAAAAGTGGTTTGGAAATTGGTGAGAAAGCACTAGAGACTGCTCCAACTTTTCCTTCCAGAAAACTTTTGATTTATTGAAATGCTGCAGTCATAAATACAGAACAAAGGAAGTGAATATATTACAGTGTCCTCATTGTGAAAGGTCAACAGCAGATGCTTTGATAAACCAGGAGACAGGTCATTATTTCAGTGCAATGCCTGTCAGAACGTCTAGCTACTGTAACTCCCAAAAAAGTTATTTTTTAACTTCCTTCCTATGAGATTTATTAGGCTGTAAAGGAGAAGCTCAAACAAGTGGTAAAATAATTTACCAAGTCCTAGAAAAGGTACGTTGGTGAATTGCTTTGCATTGTACTGGGGCAGTGGATCAGATGACCTAGTGGCCTTTTCCATTTCTAATGTCTATGATTATCGCAGTTATACCTCAGGACACTAAACAGAGCCATTTTCTTCCTTTCAGTGGCAGCAAAATGTCACTAATGGCCATGCTAAATCAGAGCAATTGATCCTTCTGCAGATGTGTTGTGCACTTAGCAAGATGGCTATAAATGATCCCACTTTGTTTAGATTTGCTATTTTCCGTTTCTGTAGTAGAAGTGCTCTGCACAAGGGGACTGCCAGCCAAGGGAAAGAATTTCTGGTAGGAGATTAAGGATATCTAAGGAAATGGTTGCATGACCTATAAAGAGAGGATCATAAATATTGCAACAATAAAACCAATAGCTCTTTCAAAGTTTAAATAGCTTTTCTTTTCAAACACTTGAGGTAAATGCCCTTTTCCCAAGGTCGTCTAGCGTCTACACCTTGAGATTTCGCAGAGTTTCACCAAATATACTGTAATTTCTCAGGGAGCTAGCTTTTTCTTTTAATTATCTTTCTTTGTGGAAGTGACCCCTCCACAGAAGTGAGACCCCAGCTACCTGGAAGTTGCTTATTATTTCCTCGAGTACTGAAGTTTCTGAAAAGCCAGAGCATAATAATAATAAAATAGCCCCTGCATTTCTTAAGCACAACACCCACCAAACAATGCAATAAGGGACAAGGATGGTTCTGCCCTTTATAACCAAGTAGCAGCACCTACACCTTGTCTTGTGTCCTAGGGGAGCCTCACAAACAAGGGTCTGCCTACATGAACGCTCAGGTATAACATTTTTATTCTTCACAATCCCAAGCGTGGAAAACCCCAGACTTGGGCTGCTGCAGCTCTGCAGATACAGACAACTGACATTCCTACCCCACACACCCTGTTGGTGTGCAAGACAGACTTTGTTTTTAATGCTTGGTATAGGATGCAGCTCCGCAATAAGCAGCCTGCTCTCGTGTGAGCTCCGCTTTTTCTCCCCATTCTCCATCCTACCATTAGTCTGTAGCCAGTGCAGTGAAAATGTAGACCAATGTGTTCCACCAGCCGTGTCACATGGATGCAGATCTCACAGAAGTATTCTTATTCCTTTGTCACCCCATGCTGTCATGTTCATTTAACTCCTATGCCTTAGCCCTTGGCCTGGCAGTTCTGCTCTGGCCACTTTTAAATAGAAGGGCACAACACCTGCCACAGCACAAAGGCTAGAGAGTCTTGATATTAACGCTCCGTCATGCAATCCATCAGCTAGTGGTCCAACTGCAGAAAGCAGTATCCTTCCTGTAACAACTACGCCAGTTTGGTAAATCAAATAGCTGAAGACACACGGGTGTTCATTTAGCCCACAGCAGGCATGTGCCAAATCCACCCCCGAGCCCATGCAAAATGCTGATCAGTCCACAGCCCACTGGTGCAACGTACTTTTCTTTCTTGCACATTGGAAATTTGCTACTCGGAGGCTTTTATGCTTTAAATAGATTAAAAAGGCAAAGGACCCACCGAATACAGTCAATACTCACAAATGGAAAATGTCCTTAACCTGACCTCTCTGATCATTCCCTAAGCTACTGTATGTATATGCATTAAAATTTATGGCCTAGATTTCAGGCCCTCTGTAATAGCTACAATCCTCATTATTCAAATGTTGTAGTTTGCCTCTATGCTTTCTGCACAAATTCTTTTGGTTGTGTTTTCTTGCTTATGTGCAATTTCACACATCCAGTGTCTAAAAAATCACGGCTTTCAGTGCTCTCCATCATCTAGAAGTTGCTACTTTCTACCTGAGACAGGCAGAAAGGCTGTTTTATACCTACAGTTTTCCTACAAGTGACATATCTAATGTTTTAGGAAAAGAAAACAAAACCTAACAAGTCAGATGAAAAGGCAGAAGTTGATACCGCAGACAGACAGGCTGGCAAGCGAGAGAGAAGCAGGATTAGAAACATACATTATGCTGTGAATTTAGGATACACCAGCTTCTCTGCCCCTACGTTCTTGTGCAGACACTTGTCAGCTACTGTCCCTTACTTCCCTACTGTGCCGAAAAGCATGGCAAATTTGCCCACATTGGGAGTGAGACCAGAGTGGCTGGGGTGCTGTACGTTATGCTGTGGTTTTCTGTCCCCTAACTCCCCAAGTACATGTGCCCAGACTTGCAAGAATGATCAGAAATAGGTGCTGTGCAAAGAGTTAGGCAAACACCTGCCAGCCTTGCTACGTGCAAAGGGGCCTTACCATTTCACCTACATCCATAGGTTTCTCTTACAAGATCATTCCTACAGTCACGGACTGTGCTTCCCCTAAGCCTTGCTTATTCATGAGGATTCCCAAATTTGCATTTCTTCAGCAGGCTAAGGACAGGGGACATAAGGTCTAAGGACACAAAGAGGTAATTCATTCCTGGACTTCTCCCTGATTTTGAAAGAGCACAGGCAAAAGCGTCAAGAAACAAGAGTAAAGTGTAATATGAAAGTAGCAGTGAAGCAAGGGGAAGGATAAATTTATCCTACTTTCTTGGAGAACCTCCCTAAACAAGTGCAGAAAAAGAAAAGGCACAAAGTGGTGGTGGTGCTAATACTGTAAAGAAAGAGGCTCAGGATCCACGGAGCCCTGACGTACACTGTGAAACAAGCTTGAATTAGATAGACTCCTCTTAAACAGTATAAATGCAATTGCTATGTGGACTTTAAACACTGAAAGAAAGACAAAGGTTTTGTTTACTGCAAATACTTTTTCATGTACCTTAATGCCCAAAAGTAAAATATGAGGCTGGATTTCTTCTGAAACATGGTCAGGAATTTTAAAACAGGCTTTTGTATACACAAACAAAGGGAGCATGGGAAACAAGAGCTTGGGAGTTACTTAAATGTCAAGGATTACATTCTGCCAGGTAGAACTGAAGTGTAGCAGAGGGACTCAGTTTCATAAATGAAATGTCATTGCTGATGGGAACAAATTATATAAGAAAGATGGAAAGGGAAACAGAGGTGGCACTTTGTCAGATGCATTTATAGCTGCAGCAAGATACAGTTCAGCCGCAAAGAGAGTGGTAGTAAAAAATAAAGAACATAAAGAAAAACTGAAGTGGACATCTGCTACAGCCTACTCCAGCAACGAGAAAGCAGGAGTGAATTAGTCTCTCTCAAAATACTCAAAGCCACAGGACACTTGTAGGGAATTTAACTGCCCACACATCTTTTAACCAGCACTGCCAAATACTGTCCAAAGATGTTTGTGTGTTACACAGAAACCTGCTCTAATCCAGACAGTACAGGTTCTTGACAAATAAAAAAGAAAATTCCCCCAAACCCAGAAACTGTATCTGAGAAATTAAAAGCGACACCAATGAACAAACTATCTGAATGTAACATAGTAAAGAGTTTATTCGTTTGACTTAGAAAAGGTCTCTGGCATAATTCACTGGACACATATACATTAAATATACAAATGCATACCAAAAGAAACCCAGAAGGCACACATTCAGCCAAGAGGCTCATTCAGAACCACTCACCATTTCACGCCAGAAAGAAAGTGCCGCAAGCCCCAGCTTCGTTACTCTGTTCAGGACCGCAAGTGTAGGTAGGCCCCATGGTACACCACACAGATCAGCAAACCTGGGCTGACAAGCCAAAGAGTAAATGAAATCTGGAGAACAGGCATCCTCTTGGGATTGTCAAGGGTCAGGACGCAGATGCCAAAGAGAGCTAATCTTGTTCTTTAAAATAGCAACAGAACAACAAATGTCTCCTATCCTTCCTGCCCCCTTGGGAGGTCAGTGACTCGGTTGAGAGAGGTGACATTTTGGGTTAGGACCAAACGGTAGTTATTTGAAGACTGCTGTAGGTACTGCTGTACCTTCAGCCTTTGCTAGCAGACTTCCAACAGAATTCAGAACCACTGCTCCTTGTCTCTCTGCCCCACCCAGCACCATCAACCACATTTTATCTGGAGAGTGATAGAGATTCATTTTACAGGCCACAGCCTCAGGTTTCTGGCACTCATAAAGAACCACAATTAGCAAAACTAATCAAAATAAATGCGGTCACCTCACCCAGACTCAGATCTGTTGCCATAGGAGCAGCCAAATAGTCCAAGTTCAGCTGATCTTATCTCCAGGGAAGAACAAGTTCCACCAGAGTCTGAAACATCCACTCTGGATCAGCAAGGCAGCATGCATCCCCAAAGAGTCACGCTGAGTTTAAGGAACAGATTCATATCATGCAAGAAGCAAGTTTGCTCTCTCAAATTAAGTAATTAAGCAGTGCATGATAAGCCTGAGGAATTCTACTAGGCCCTGGAGTCAAGGCATGAGACTTCTGTGACAGGGGAAGGAATTTAAAAACAACAAGTGAACGCTACCTTTCAGGAACTGGTGTCGAAACAAAACAGAAGACAAACAGATGAGAGACTCTCTCTGGAAAGGAGATCCTGTTAGTTGACAAGGTTAAAGAAAAGTGCTCTCCTATCGGTCATAGGAAAGAGAAAGTAAAACATGTTAGTAAGTAAGCACAGAAAGAAAGGGCGGGCAAGGGAAATCAGCCTCTTGGACTATTTGCGAAGTCACTCCACCCAAGATGAAGCAACAAAGACATAAAAACAAAGAGATAGAGGTCTTCCTGGAAAACTTGACCATATACATCAACATGGTACTAATTAGTTAATTAACCTATTGCACAATTAAAAAATAAATAAATATTTTAAAAGACCGGGAGAACAAGGAAGCCCCAGATGACAATGTTCTTATCAGAATGAAAAGGGGAACAATGTTGACCTGAATTTATCTCTGATCTCTGCTAACAAAGTGAAATAAATACAAAGAAAGAATAAAAATCTCCCAAACGTCTGGAGAATAACGGAAGTATGGCAAAATCAAGCCATTTTAGACAATCCTGCAAACACACAGCAAGTAGCTTTTGGCACATGAGCCACACACCTGAAGCCAACAACAATATGTAGAAGTATTAAGTTACTTCTACATCCAAGTGATGGTGTCATTTCCAACGCCTCTTTCCTCCCATTACCAGGACCGACTTTATAAAACACTGCTGATAATAGGAGCTGACAGACACAGCTGTAAAACTACAGCTTGTTCCCAGAAGGCTATATAGAATATAGCTGTATACAGTAGCAAGCATTTAACCCACTGAGTGAGAATGAGTATGTTTAACAGAGGGCACAATAACTTTGTTATTTTAGGATCTCAAGATGTTCTACAGGGTAAACTCAGAGTAAAACAGACCTGCTTGCCATTCAAGTTAAATACAATTCCAGGAAAGGCAGTCAATCAATCAATCAATCAATCAATTAACTGAATTTTATCATCAACTACAGACAGCTGTTTCAGTGTAACAACCACTACTGCAACCCAGCACCTAGAAGAGTCTTTGGAACAGCTTGCTTTGTGTTAGGAGTGCAGCAGTTACCTTTGCTGTGAATTCCTTATGCAGTGAATAACCCAAATGGCTTCTCCAAACAAAAAGAGAGAAAACTAAAGCTGTGTTTTTCTGCTGTCTAGATAGTTTTTTAGCAAGTAGGTGTGTTAGTTTTCAGGTATCTACTTAAAATTAGTATTTATTTTTCTTAGGTATCACAAGAAGGCTTATTAATAACAGCAGAATATGGCATTTAGATGGCAAGAAAGCAGAGTGAAACATCAATCCACACAATGACAAAACAAAAACAACCTGCTTCTCCACTCTGTTAGTGGGTAGAACTGGAAAAGGGCCAGTAAACACAAGGACAGAGGTTGTCAATCAGGTCCCATATAATGAATAGCTATGTATACCATGAACCTGCAACTTGGAAAAAGTGATGACTGAGGACATGTATGATATAGGTCTGTAAAATCACAAGTGGCAAGGAGACAAGGAATAGGGGTGGTCACCACTACATCTGACAGTGGAAGAATTAGGGTCACTCGACAGAATCTCAAGAAACCCATTAAAACAGCCTGACAACAGTTCTTTTGCATACCACACAATGAACTTCAGGTTCATTGCCACAGGACACTGTGGAGGCCAAAATTAGAAAATGATTTTTAAAAAGGGACTAAGTGCACTCATTAAGGCCAGGTCCAGAAGGAACTGCCAATTCAGAAAGTCCACAGGTTGCAGGAATGGTGTCAGAGAAAGACCTCTGTATACAAGCTTTGTATTTTATGCTTCTGTAATCATCTGTTACTGGCTGTCCTCAGAGACAGGAGAGCAGGTTAGATGGCCTTTGGTCTGATTGCATCCAGTGCTTCTTATGGATCAAAGCTCTCAATTTTGGTATGATTAGAGTTTGGAAAGGCTAACTTAAAAAAACAAAAAAGGAACATTCAAAAAGGCATTGTATGACTCCTCTGCTGCTTCTTTCAACCCTCAAAGATGTGCTCCTTAATCTTTGTTTCCATGAATGGTAAAGTATTGCTGAATTAAAAACAAATAGAACTTTTTAACAGTCACTGAAGGCTGCATTATTGCTCCCAGATCCTGCCCAGTCCACCTTATAAGGCATTTCTCCTGACCCGGTCTCAACTGCAGGTTAAGTCTCCCTATATTACATTTTTTCTCTTTACTACATTCTTGCTAAATCACTTTGTTCAACTGCTATATTTATGACAAGAAACATTTAAGATCCTAATCTGCTGGTCTCTGCTAGCTAAACCCTTCTCCCAGACCACTCATTTCTGTGTGGATAAGTGATAACAGGAATCTACAGGAAGACTCCTTGTGGACAAAGGATTGCTACGCTGTCTGTAAACATCCTTATTTCACCCAGAATTTGCCACTTCAATTGGATTTAGCCTTCCAGCCAGTCAGACCAATACATTTCTGCAGTGCAGTAAACAATGCAACACAGTGATTCTGAGTCTGTAGCTAGACAGACTGAAGTAGCAGCACAAGTAAGTCAGAAAATCTGCATTTATCTGGACACAGAGTGAGCTCTGAGACCAGTCATCACAGTTGTTTTTATATATAAAACGTGTGCACACAGACATACGGACTAATACATTCATCACTAACCCTCATTTAAGGGACCGACCATCAAAGTCTACACTTCACCCAGTAAGTGTGCTTTATCTGGGGGTGCCAGGTGCAGCCAGGACTGTGCAGTGGCCTTACAGACCACTGCATGAGGACATGGCTGTAGGTTCAAAATCAATCGAGAGGTTACTGTTCCAGCTTATTCAGTCTTCACTTCTCCAGACAATCCTTCCCAATCAAGATAACACACAGGTAGATTGTTTGGTTTTATCGCTTGTAGTGGAGTTTGGACTTAGGTTACCTGGAATGAAATGAAGTTAAAGTAATGTTAATGTTAAGTAAATAAAATCTGGATAAAGTTCAGACTCATGCTTCAGTTCTCCCTCGTTATTTATTATACAACTTCTACTAGACCTATATTACTCTGCACTCTCTCATGGTTTTATTTCCTAACACCGTGAAATGAAGAGACATTAAAATAAGCAAATTCAGAGTATACTGTGGAGCAAACCACTGGAGAAGTATTTCCAGGCTTTGGTCTGTACCCAGGCCAGCTTCAGCGGTATTCTCAGGTCCAAGCTGGCCCTGAAAAACAGTCTGGCCAGGACTTGGGTGGGAGGTTTTCCAAAGAGTGAGGTATGAAAAAAGAAAAAAGTCAGGTCATCTCATCCATTTGATCCCCACACACATCCTCAGTAAAGTATTTTTCATGTCCCATTTTAAACATCTCAAGTGCCAGTATTTCCACCATTTCCTTTGCAAGACAAATCCCAAGGCCTCGGGGTCTCTCCTTTAAGTAGCACAGTATGCTGCCCCAATTTTTTATCATCTTAGTTTTTTTCACTGCTCACTCTATGGATTCCTTCTGCTGCCAGTATCTGTACTTTTCAATGCTTGCACTGCTGTCTGATCTCATTCACTACAGCCAGCTGTTGGTCTGGATGCCCCAGCACATTTTTTTTCAAGCACTGTACTAAAGTGCATTTGCAGAGGCTTTTGCAAGTAAGGGATCTCGTCTGTGCTCTGAGCTCAGCAAGGCTTACATGACCTGCTGCCCAGGGCAGTACATACCAAGAGGGGCTGCCATGTGGCTTGCTGCCACTCTGAGCAAGGGCAGAGCCCATTCATGTGTTTGTGCAGAAGGAAGGTATATGTGCATCTCCCAAGCAATTGGAGCCCGTGGCCGGTACAGATTGAGTACAGGGAGGGAAAACTGCCCCAGGCCAGGGTGACATGCTACTGAGAAGTCTCAACCTTGCTAAGATGAGGGAGCTTTCAACCCAAGCACTGCCTCTAAACTGGGCTTCAAGCGAATCAGTTCTCAGCTCTTGCTTGTTTGATCAATGTTTCTCTCACCCATAGGTGATGGGGAAGAGAAGAGCTCTCTCCCCTCCCCCTCCTTCTCTCCACCTTCTTCCACACTACAACTTCTTGATATCCACGTGGGAGGCTGCACTGCAACCCGCCCTCACTTTTATGGCTGCTCTGTATGCTACTGCCTCCTCCCAACATCTCCCCATGGCATTTCATTCTACCTCCTGTTCCCTCTTTGGCCCATTCTGTATGTTACTACTAAGTTTATCATCACTCCTATCTCTCCACCACTCTTGTTCCCCTGCCTGTCTGTATCACATGCAAGACCCTCATGTTTACTTTCAAAAGTGTCTGTGCTCCTCTGCTTAATCTCAACTCCCAACTCCTTTATTCTTCTCACATTCTACTCTTGTCTTCTGACATTTTCCTACAGATCCTGCTACAGTTAGAGCAAACACCCTCCTTGTATGTACCCAACAACGTTCCCCTCTTTCTCTCTAGAAAAGAGGCTCAAAATTCCAGTTACCACCCATCCATGATCCCACTTCAGCTGAAAAATACTGGTGATAACTAAGCAGCTATTCCTGCAGTGTTGCAATGCCCATTTCTTGTTGCAAGAAGCACTGAAAAGTGAAACACAAAACCCACAAAAATTAAGTGTATGTGTTCTGCAGCCAACACTCATGAGGAGTGAAGGCAGATGTACGGAGCAACTCAGGATAGCAGACCCTTCTGAACAAGCCCACTTTCCTTCTTGCAGGGGAGAAAACAAAACAAAAAGCCAGCACCTTCCAAAGACACACAGCTTTCAAACCCTTGCAGTACTTCCCAGAAACTGCACACAGATGTCAGTGTCTTTGCTGATCACAGTCTACCCAGCAGCAGCTTAAAATTAACAAGATTCTGGTCAGGTTCAGAGCTGTTGTTGTTGTGTTCCTAAGCAGGCAACAGTGAAATTCAAGAGTTGTGTTGATTTGATGATGTGGTTTCAGAAAGCCTCGTGTAAGACAAGCACAGCCTCCATGCAGTGTGATAGGACAACACCTCAGGATGATAGTTTGGACACTTAGTCTGGGACATTACTATCTGTAGCCCTTGTATTTTTCAGACTCCCAATTCTGACTTGTAGGTATCCTTTCCTAGCATGTAAATACTGACTCAGATTTTCTGACTCTGTCACAGAACGTACTTCCATCACTTCCCTTCCCAGTTCAGATTCTCTTCATCACCATCTGCTCTTACAAGACTGAATCTGACCTTTAGCCTGCTTGAATAATGTCTTTCAATTACTCTGCAAGCTTCTTGGGGTGTAGATCTGGTATCTTTATGCATTTGCAAGGTGGGATGTGTCTCTGTGGTACTACAGAATTAATAGTGACTTTGGAGGATGTGTGCATAGGCAGGCCCACAGGGCTTAAGTGTGCTGTTTAATCTTTACAAAAGGTAAGGGCAGCTATTTCAAACTGTGAAGCTCTGAATAATTGCATCCTAACCCGACTGCATACCAAGCACTTTCTCCCTCCTTCGTTTCCACTTCTTACCTCTTCCTTCTGCCATGCAGAGTATCACACCATCAGTTTTTAGACCTGCACGAAGACATCTTAAACTTTTAAAACAAAGTCAGTCCTATAGTTACCCAAAACCAAAGTGCCTCCTATTTTAATCTCGAAGCTGGAACTCTATTCCATGTCCATATTCAATAATTTTTTATTAAATCCTAATGAAGCATGTAGTATTGATCAAGTAGCTGCAGGATCTTCTGAGTAACTAATTTTTTTCCTCTTTCTCATGAGTCTCTATCTTCCTAATGTGCCCTCTACCACCTCAGCTGACATGTCACTTTGGGACCATTAGACTAGAGAAGCTTTCTCTCAAGATCAGGTGATTCAATTCAAAAGCAACACGCAAGCAGTGATCTTCTGCCAGCTTTTTACAACACCAGATGACCTAAGTCTACTCACACCATACTTCAAAAGCTGTGGAGTCTCCCATTGCCACCATGAATAGGCATTCTCAGTTCGAATAAAACAAAAAGAAATACCTGCATGGTCTCCTTGGAAAGATTTATCAGGTCAGGAAGAGCACAGCAGAAAGGCTGGTGTGCCGGATCGCTGTGCCTTCCCTGTATCTGTTCTCAATTCTTCCTTCCCCTTTACTGAAAGAGGTGGCAGCCCTCAGGAAGTAGCAGTGGCAATAAATAAAACCTGAACATAATAGCATGATAGTGTCTTTGTGGAAATGGTCCAGACCAACCATCAGACTGTCTGGCACAGATCCATGATGTTAAAAGGAACAGGGACATCCTTGCTGCCCTGGCTGTGCAATGCCCCAGAAGGGCGCAGCACCCCCCTGTTTCAGCTAGAGACATCAATCTGTTTTGTGCCTTACTCTGGGCCTAGTTTCATCATGACTTTGTGGGAAAGGCGGGCTATCTGCTTTAAAGCAGCTGACTGAGAAACGTAGGGAATCTCCAATACTGTAAAGCGCTGACAAATCAGAGATTACACAATTCTCTACTTCTGTCACTAGGGGGTAGTGCAAACCCTCAGGACCAGATGAAATGCCCATACATCTCCCTATAGGCCTTCACTGATTTGGTTTTTCCTGGCTCTGAGCAATGGGGCCCAGAAGCACATGCTGTCTATGCTCGAGACTTAAAGTGATTTGGAGAGAGGACCTCTTTAGACCAGAGTTTACTTCTGCCTCCCCAAATGCCAAACACACATCCTAGAATAGGTCTATTATAGTCCTAAATAAACTATCCATGCCTTCTTACAGTTCCTTTCTCTTGTGTTCATTTGGCATTTTTGAGTCTGTCCTTCATTCAGCCAGAAATATTTCTAAGAACCTAATCAATTGCTGTTCTTGACCTTCCCAATACCTTGCTTTTCTTTTTGCTCTCAAGAGAATGTCTTTCCATTTCACATCATGGCACTCTCAAGGGAATTTAGTCTCCCTACACCTGCATTTCATGTTCATCAGCACAGAATGGTCTGTGGCCAGACAAGTTCAAGAGAGATTTTCCCCCCTGAGCTGGTTTATTTTCATGCTGGTGCAGGATGTATTCACACCCAGCACAGCTTGCTGAGAGAGGGAGGCAACCAGGCTGAATAGTCTATAGATTTACTTCAGTCTGACAAAACTTCTAAAATGTTGGGAAGTTAGCTACGAACCCATACATTGGAAGAGATATATATTATTTGTGTCTTCAACCAGATGAAGCCTGGGAAGGACTTAGTAAAAATATCAATCATGCGTTAGCAAAGAAAGAAAAGTTGAGATCTAGTACTTATCCATAGCTTCTATTTTTGCAACCTTCTCCCCCATTTTGGAAGGTGATAAAGGAGCAAATTAAAAAGATTTCCACCCTCTCCTCCATTGCTTGCCCCCTCAACGCAACAGAAACAGATTTTCCTCTCTTCTCTACCAGTAACTTGACTTGGTAAACACACCTGACTAAACCCGAATGAGGAAAGGAGAGGTTACACTGAAAATCTGTCTGCACTCTGCCAGCCACTGCAATAGTGAACGTATCGCTGCTGTTCATTAGGGAAGTGCACTTCATGAGCTGTACATACAACCTGTTTTACACAAGAAGACATTCACCTTTCTCTCCCTTTGTCTCATACCCACTTGCTTAGAAGTATGAGAAAATATTTACATGAGAAGTACCAACTTTACAGTAAGACTGCCATTAAACTGCCTTCAACTTAAATTGCCTGTATCTTTTGATACAACTTCTACTCTTCTTTGATCTTTCTAATTTTAATATAGAGGAAATAACAGGATCTACTCAGAGGTGCCTATCTTGAATAAGTTTGCACCAATCAGCCAAACTCAGAACAAGGGAGACAGAAGCAGAATATGATGGCAGAAGAGGCTTTACCTGAGATGCCTCCAGTGCTCCGAACACTGGCATGGCCAATGCTGAGCTGCTCATATTCCAGTTTCATGTTCCCAAGGTCTTCTCCTGAATGTCCTTCACTGGCAAAAGAATTGGCCTCAATGCTTGAGCCTGGAGACCGTTTGGCCTTGCGACTGAAAAGCCCACTGGCAAACCGTTTTCCTTGCTTTGAATTGGCCTGTGCATCTTCTTTCTTTATGTCACGAATAGACTCTCTGGATTTGGATTTATTTTTCAGGTCCATGTGGAGCCGGGAGAACAGTTTCTGAGGGCTCCGATTCAGCTTGTTCAAGTTCTCCAGAGGTGGATCAATTTCTGGGAACTCTTGTTCCAATGTGACTAAGTCATTCAGAAACTGATTTAACCGTTTCTTTGACTCACTTGTTTCCTCCTTTTCCATGTTACCCTGATTATCCTGCCTGTGTCGTGAAGCCCAGAGCATCACATCACCACGGGTTGCCCCTGCCACTAAACCATACTTGGGGTTAATGAACTTCCGAGCCACGGTGGAAGAATGAAGGCCTGGCTTCCCAATTCCAAGAAGGAATGGGTTAGCAATACCCAGTTCCTTGTAGAAATTAACTTCCTCTGAGATGGCATAGAGCTCACGAAACTCAACGTCAAACATCTCCACATGCTGTCCTGTCAAGACTAGCAGGATGTTTCTGTCAATGTGGGATGAACTCCATGTGAAGCTAAGAATAGGAAACAGAACGAACATTAGATTTTTGGGTGCGTACTTGACCCAGCCCTCCTAACCATATGTAAGACACTACATGGGAATATGTAGCATTGTGCCATTTGCCTGAATGACCTTGCCAAGATGGGTCAGAAAGCTCTTTATTATTGTTCTTGATTAGGCATGCAGACTAGATCTGGAAGAAAAGGCTCTAAAACTCTGAAGGACAGTTTACCCTTTTAAAAAAGCAACACTGCATCAATAGGAGGAGTCTGCAGACTGAAAACTGCACTGAAGAGAACTGAGCATGGTGGCTCGTGGGGAGATCCTTGGAGACCACCATCTGATGCAGTGTAGAACTATCTCTAGCCCACTGAAATGGTCCACTAGCATGGTCATGTCACATTCTCCCAGGAGCATCTTGTGCTCTATGCTACCTTTTCTGTCATCCTACAGTTTCTACAGATGCCACACAGATTACAGAGTCTGGAATAAGAAAGGGAATGACATGGGAAGAAGACTCTCAAGCAAAGTCACAAGTCATTCTTTACACAAAGAATGTAGCTTTGCCTTAAGCAAGAGCGACCCACCTGTATGATCCAGTGGCCACCTTTTCACCATCCACCATCAGGAATCGGGATGCCAATGTGCCTCTGATCTTCCCTGCTGGCATGTAGAACCCAACTCCTGTCACAGAACGTATGCGGATATTCTAAGAAAGAGGTGAAAAGACAAAATGTCACAATAAATAGGGCAGAGAATTAGATAATTGCCAGCTCCGAGTCTTAACATGTCACTCACATTATCTCACTACTTCTGGGACTACAGCTCATTTTGTATCAGCCACCAGAAATCAGAAGGGCTGCGGGAAGGGAAGCGTAGTGCCGTAAGACCTGTTGTCATCCCCTGTCTATGCAAGTCACTCCCCTGCATCAGTTTATAGCCCTGTCCAGTGGGTCAGCATCTTTGTAACCCTGCCTGCTGTCTTCAGCTATTCATCTTAGCCCACTGGCAAGACAGTGCTTTCAAGATCAAATAATCTTCCACCTCCAGTCCTGTGCTGTAGCTCAGAAAGCCCAGACCAGTTCAGGGGAATGAATCAGAGGAAGCTCTGAGTCACCTCTGCACTCTCTGAATCCTGATCCCTATTCCACAGCACACGTGAGCTCTTCTCCAGATTATGTTAGCAGGATCACAAAACCAATGAACTTTGCAACACCTGTGCAGTGGAAAGGACACAGTTACTTGGAGAGTAATATATGAGACAGGTCTATATTAGGTTCTTTTTGTGCTTGTGTTCTGATTCCCAACAACACATGGCTTGGCAAAACTGGATAAATTAGAAGACTGGACAATTTATTTATTATAGAAGAGAGGAGGAAACAATTCTATTGCTCAAAAGATAGAAGTTTCCTGTCTGTTATAACAAAAGGAGAACCCTGACCTTTATAATTTTGCTAAGAACCCCAAAGAGTTACAGTGTCCACCCAGGTTTCTCACTGTTCAACGGAGATTGAAAAAACACCAAACTTTTTCTGAACAAAAGGAATAGGATGTTTCTACTGATGTCCTGAATAGATTAGCAAAGAAGAATTTTGGAAGAAGAGGAAGGAAAAACTTTTAATTAAATGAATGGAAGTAGTTAGAAAAAGAGAATACCTCCCCCCAAACCTCCTGTCACACACCCTTTGGCCAGCAAACCTACAACTAATAAAAAAAGCACTACCAGGCACAGAGAGACCACAGATTTAAGGTTACATGATTGTCAACAATAGGTTTGTGCCTACACTTACTATAAGAATATATTTGCACATTTGACTGAGTGTTATTCTGCTCAGGGGTCCTGACTGCATAAGGCTGAATTGCAAAACTCTAACATGAAACATCACCACCCCTAAAACCCAAAAGCATTGATTGTCAGTGTAAGTTTAGAGCAAATTATCTTGTCTCTCTGACACACAAATTTAAACCATTTTATTCATTCCACCATCTGTTTCTGTAAGAATTCTTTAAGAATGAAAAGCTAAAACGTATTGTGAACTTGAGTAATAAATCCAGGGTTGGGAGTCAGACAGTCCCATGTGTAATCACAGTTCTGACACTATTCCCTATGATGATCTGGGAATGACAATTCACCTTTGCCTCATTCTTCCCCCATCTGCAGAGCAGGAGAATCATGAGGATTTGGCTAATGCTAGTACAGCCTCGGATCTCACAAAGACCTAAGTCCTATTATTACAAACCTCACTGACAGTTTAAATATTGATAGGCTACATAAATTAGCATGCAGGAACGAGTGATTATGAGAATGCAGATTTATTTCAAAAAACATTTCTCTGAATATAAGTCTTACCTTTTGAATCTGCTCCTATTTCCCCCACTGAAAACAGCAGTGGCAGTACAAATTCTGACTAACAGTAACTGATGATACTACTATTTTGCATTCATCTATTGCTTGATCTGTCTGGAGTCCTGTGTGGGCATTAGCTAATTAAAACTCCCAACACTGCTGAAAGTATTATTACCCTGTTTTAAAGATGAGGAGCTTGAGAGAGAAAAAGATGAAGTGACTTGCCCAAGGCCTTGCAGTGAGTCATATGTGTGGGATGCTGAATGCAGGTTGGGTAGAGCATAGGAGAAAGGCTGCCCTTTCCAGCATTTACAATAACATTTGTAGTTGGCTGGCTGATCACCTGAAATAATATTTTTCCCTTGCTGAGTAATGTTGGATGTGGGATTTGCCAAATCATGGAGTATTGACTGCAAGTGACAAGGAGGAGCTCAGTTCTTCAAATCAGTCAACACTCCCTGACATGCCATGTACCTTTGTGAATCAAGAAAAATCAGCCCGTGTGAGCAGAGGGTTTCTTAGCCTGTAACAAGTGTGGATTTTATTGTGTTTGTATGTTATATCATCTTCTTTCGGTGGAAAGAAAGCACATTTGAATTTCTGCATTAACTGAGCTACACATAACACTTAGAAAGGCACAGAGGGGATAGAACCAAACAGCTGAACACATAAACCTCCTTGAACAAAGTAGGCACAGGAGTGCATAAATACATCTTGAAATGCAGAAAACAAGCACAAAGTCATATAAACATCGAGTCACTTAACAGGTTATTTGTATAATGTTTTCTGCCTTGAAGGATCTTGGAGCATTTGTAGGCCGATATATCAAGCTGTACAGAGGAGGAACAAGACTGGGTTCATGTACTGAAGACTAAACAATAGCAGAAGAGGAAAGACAAATATAAATGATGTGATATTGCGGCCATTTTGGGGGGGGCACTAGTGTTAAAGTAGTAACAAATATTTTGGGAAGAGGACCAGTTAGTTCACCAGATAGAAGTGACCTCTTCAGATCTGTATTCTTGCAGAAGTCTGCTTAAGGTTTGCCATGTCCTGGCTTATGGAAGCTTCAGTCTGCATTAAATTTCCACATTTCCTTTACACAGGCTTGCACCACTCCTCGTCAAAAGCAGTGACTAATGTCTCCCTGGCAGCAACTTAATACGGACTGGCAACAGTCAAGCCTGACACAGCATCCTAATACAAACAGTGAAGGAATCACTCTTTCCTGCTTTATTGTGACACACTTTTAAACCTCACCCTGAACCCACAGAAAGTTAAATTAGATCCAGTTTAGAAAGTCAGTAATAGGTTGTGTTGTGACTGACACTTAGTTGTCACTTGACAGACCTGGGCAGCAGTGCTCACAACTGGGGTTGAGTAGGGGGCATACACAAGACAGAGCTTAAAGGGAAGAGTTTGTAAGTACTTCCACCAGAGAGTCCTGAACGTACCTTTCCTCTTAGAACAACAACTGATATATATGTTGCAAAGCAAGCAGGGATCTTTATTTCAAGTTGGGATGGATGGCATGAATGATCTCTATATAAAGGTATAAAACAGATTGAGGAGAGGCAACAGATAAAAATAGTAGCCAATAGATGACAGTGACTCAACAGTCCCTTATATTGACTGTGTTTTTCAAAATGGGGAGATCCCCCTCCTGCTCTCCCTGGAAAAAACAGAACCCTTCAGTCAATAGAATCTGTTGGGGTAGCTCCTGTCCTTTGTTTTCTTGTAATACTGCTTCACCTCAGCACACCGCTGAGGGGGAGACCCCAGATGCCTGTTATTTCCCACTCTAAAATCCTAGATGGAGGTACCACCGAAGAGGGAAAGAGGAGGAGAGATATCGGATTCATGTGGACAGGACCACAGTAACAACAGTAAGGGGATTTTTCTTATTTGTAGTTCGCAAGATTTTAATTTCTGGTGATCAGACTTCCTGGTCAGAGAGATGGGTGGTAGCTGCTCATCTTACACAGGGAGACAAAAGCAGCCACGATCTGGAAGCAGCCACTAAGTAATGCTGGTAAATACCATGGACCTGCCCTCTGTGTTTGCCCCGAACAGTTTTGGGAAAGGCACCCTTGTTTACAAAACAGTAGAACTTGCAAGTATTCAGATGGAATAGGATGAAATGCAGAGAGCTGGACCTGGCCTGCTAAGGTCATTACTGGGTATTATTTCTTTGGGTCTTTGCAAAAAGAGAGCTTTGTGAGCCCCCATTTTCAAAAGGTCACAAGCAGCCTAGAAGAATTCTCTAACAGATAATTAAAAAACACAACAGCACTGCATCACATTACATTCAGCTTCTCCCTCACTTGAGATACAAATCAATGAGGAAAGACATGAAATACTGAAATTAAATTCCTAAAATTTCTTAGGCAAGAACTTTTAAGATTTCCTGGAGTGAGGCAAGAAACTCCTTATATGTTGGGAAAATGAATGTAAAAATTAACATGAAGGTGAACTTCCTGCAGGTAACTAATTCCCTGAACTCCCTGTTTTCAAGCAGGAGTGTCTGTCAGTGGGGTCTTGGTTAGTAGAAGCATGGGGAGAAAGAGAACTCATCTAAAAACCAGTGAGAACACTCACCCTCGGGTCAACAAAAAGAGGACTTTTTGTGGGGCTATGAATTTTCTATCTATGGAGAACTTTGATTCATTGTGATCTCCAAAGCACACTCTTGTGTCAAACATAACAGAAGTCTGGCAAACCATGTCCTGTAGGCTCAGGAAGCCTATATATGACTCATACACACAAGACACGCTCTTACTAACATCCCAGAATGAATGTGCCAATGGTTGAATTTAAATGCATTTCTAGTGATCTCTGGCCTTCAGACAAAAATTGAGGTTTTCTCATTTCATGTTTGGAGTCAGTAAAGAACGTTTTGTCTTTGCAGAGTGACATACTGACTTCCTACGGCAGTTTCCCTCCTGTGAGACTGTCAGCAGATCGCGATACCTTGCCATCTCAAAATGATGCAATAGCCAGGAATTTTGTGAAAATGCCCAGCACTGTAGACTTTGTATGTAGACAAAGGGCAAAATCTAGTGTTAAAAGTAGATGTCCCTGTATTAGGACTGTTGGAGTGTTCACTTTGCATTGGATAAACAGGGCAATAGAAACAAAAGGGCAGGATTCACAGAACAATCTGAGCATCTGGTGATGACAGAAGACAGAATAAGCATCCTGACCCTGCAGCAGTGACAGCCCATGGTAATGTGTCACCTCCCTCTCTCTTTCCCTGGGATCAGAACTTGCCTCTAAACCCTAAAGTTACACCCCACATTGCAACAGCTCTCTGAGAAAAAGCCATCGTGTAAATCTTGCACAAGCATTCCAAAGGAAAGTTGGGGAAAAGGGCAGGAAGGAAGAGTATTCAAATCCTTTGCTGACAAACGGTGGCCCACTGGTGAAAATCTTTTAGAAGAAAGCAAAATGGCTACACAAAATTACAGTGTAAGGAGAGAATCTGTTCCCTGTTGCTGAAAATCTGTAGAAGAAACTCAGACAACAAAGCAGATGTCAGGAGAAAAATGTCATAAATAAGAAATGGATGAATGACAGAGTTAACTGCACTCATTTCTTGTTCTTCCTCAGCAATTCCAACATCCTCTGTGATCAAGAAATGCAGGACAAAATGATTCTGCCTGAACAAGAGCAGAGGCCCAGCTTGCTTTCTTGCTTTAAATCTTAGTCTTCAACACTAAATGTTCTAAACAACCTTTGACATGTTACACCAATGAGGTGGGGGTGGGGGGAGGCCACAAGGGGAAGCCTTAACCTTGCTTGAGATTCCTCGGGTATCTAAAGCCTGGTGTCAGGGGCATCACTATATGATGATTTCTGACAGACTGACCCAAGCAGCAGCATAGATATATCCAAGGCAGCCTTGGGCAGGATATGAAGAGGCCATCTTACTTGAGAGGCAAATGACCTGTTTCCCCTTACAGGAAGGCTCTTCCCAGTCCTTCCATAGTATTATAGATAGGAATACACTGCACTGACCTTAATAAGATTAAAAGCCTTAGCCATACTAGAAAAGGAATACAACAACATTAAGGGGAATTTAAGATACAGTATGGGATAGCTAGGAAAAGAAGGGAAAAAGTTGAAGCACAGCACTCTGTGGGCTGGAGCTCTGCAGACGAGTGAACAACTAGGTTAAAGAAAGATATTAAAAAGTTCTTCTCTGTGGACCTGCATCATCTCAGCTTGTATTTGGGCTCTTTAGTGAAGGAGTCTGATGAAAAACACAGCGAGGACTGCTGTGAGAGAAGGGAAGCACAGAAGGAACACAGAAGAGTTTTCTTCTGCTTTTGATGGCATCAGTTCAAACTCTGCCTCTTTGGAAAGGGTAACGCACCTAGGCTGCTGCAGGACCTAGTCACTGCTGTAGCATGTCACTGGTGATTGGTTTTGAAGTGTAAAGTCTGTATAGATAGCTATGGAGAAAGAGGTAAGAGGAGGAGCAGAAGGGGATTGCTTACTGCTTAAAGATGGAGAAGGCAGACAAAAAGGAACCCACCTCTCCAATAACATTGCAACTTTTCCTAACTCTATCCAGAATTTAAAATATGCAGTACTGAAGGCATCATTCCTGCACATGACGACACGATGAGGAAAGTACTGGGAAACGGGTACCAGAGGGAATGGAACTACTGCTGTGATTTCAGAATTTTGTACCAGAGACTCGAACCTAGGCCAGAGAATACTGCTGAGGCTTGAAATAGGTCTACTGTAATGATGTCAGTGTCCTGCTTTCAAAGATACCAGAGGAAAGAAACTTCCATCTCCGTTTTGGAGAAAAATGAGAAAGCTGCTCGGCTGGATGTCTTTTTTGATGAAGTCCAGAAACTCAGAGCAGAGTGGTAGTTCACAGGAGCACTATTCAGGTACATGCAAGTCATTTTCATCCAGATTTAAGATGGCTCTCCTAAAATGGTTAATATGAGCCTCTATAACCTTCAGAACTTTCAGAGTTTGGGTCATGCTTTTATTTTTTAAAAAACTATTAATTGAGTGCTTATGAAAGATCTGCGCTTCCTCCAGGCAAAAAGGCACTTTTTTTTTTTTCCACTTTTTTTTCCAAGAACACTTGGATCACAAGAAGGGCAAGTTTGGCATCCCCTAGGTTGTTTCCAACCTAGCAACTTTTTCAGTATTCGGAACAAGTCTGTAGTAGTGACAGTGACTAAAAAACACGAAAAAAGCAAAGAATACAATACTAACTATAAACACGTACAGGATTTCAGTCTGTATGTAATGGAATGAGATCCTGTTGAGGCCGCTTCTGCCAGCCAAGCTAGGCTGACTACTCAGCTGTACTGCATGCACTATACGAAGGCATACTCTACTGTGGAACTGGGGAGCAGCTATACTCCTCAATCTCTTACGTTCTCGGGTAATGGAGGACTACAAGCTCATTCCCTCCCAGATGATCACTACTGGATAGGAAAGACTTGATTTCACAGAGTATATGTGTTCTATAACTTGGATCCATGCAGACAACAATTCAAAGAGCTACTCTGGACTCTAGTTTGAATCCTTGCATAGGAGACCCACAGGAATTTCCTCAATTTTATTCCCAAACAGGAATTTTTAGATCACAAGAGGCAAGAAACTACACCTGTCTCATGTGAAAGGCAAAAAAACCCCAAATCTTTCCTGTCTTTTTCTTTTTGTATTAGCAAGCCACTCTCTTATCCCTCTGTGTTCCATGAACCCCTGCCTAAGTGCTGTGAGGTGACTTGTAGGAAGGAAGAGATGTGTTTGCCTGAGTTCCAAGACTCATTACAACTGAAAAAGGCCATTGACCTGCAGGAGATAATGGTTCAGTATTGAATATCTTACCCGGATCTGCAAGTCACTGAGGTCAAGGCATCTGCACATTTCCAGGAAGAGCTTCACACCCTCCTCATCTAGGATTATATAGACTGGGATCCAACGCTTATATGCCGCATCAACAATATCGCGGAAGATGTCCCGGTCTGTAAATACGTCCATGACCACTGCAATAATCTGGAAACAAAAATACAGAAGACAGACAACTGAATTAAATATTAGGAATTGAAAGAGAGGTCCATCACACTGTTGCAAAATAAAGGAGAGCAATGATAACAGAATATGGAGGAGGAGGATATCGAGGAGACGAAAGTACAGGGATGTACATGCCCAAGCACTATGAATAATCTTGTAATTTTCTGGCTTGGCTTCTGTTGCACTTTGGAAGGTACTTAATAAATGTATTTGATGGTTCTCCTTCTTCTAGGGGAAGATGGCTTATTTCAGCAGCCTGAGGAACACCAAAGCCAAATACCTAATTTTTCCTCTGCATTGTGAAACTTTCGTTGCCTCTGTAAGGATCCACTTAAACAAAGAACAACACTGAAAATAGATTGAAAAAGAAGAGTGAAAAACACAGCTCTAACACTTAATCAGAAGGTGAGTGATGGAAGAATTCATGTGCGGAGGAATTAGGGCCTGAATCCTCAGCCGTCGTGCATAGTGCAGACAACAAGAACTTATTACCCTTTTTTTCCAATTCCATGTGAGAAATCTGCTCTCTGGGCTGGCTTCCCAAGGAATGTCTTATGGAGCTCAAACATAAACACCTCATACTTGTCAGGAAGGGACCAAAGCGTGTGTTCAAGATTTGAAGGCAAAACGATCGCTGCTGCTCTTCACAGGTACATTTTTTTCTGGTATAAAACTAATCCCTCTTTCCAGGCATAGATTTTACATAAAACCAAAAGGTTGCACTGACATGACAGACAAGCCTGAACATTCTCAGGATGAGTAACAACAAAACCAAGAAGGTTATGGGCGACTTTAATGCTGATCTTACATGTTTTGTTTTTCCCTTTCTGTATCTTTTACACCATTAGAAATATCAATTCTTGTTTGCTTGAAAGAGTTATTCTCCCCAACATCTGAAAGGTTATGAACGAAGGAAACTACTGTTTTCCTAGTCCCACTGGGAAACATCAACTTGCCAGGTCAGAGCTCTCATGCTCACAGTATGCTGGCAATAGAGTTTCCTAAATTTTAATTTCCCAGGCGCTGGGGTCACAGGGACAAGCCAAGCTGTGCTGGGGATGGCACATACAAGTGCAAATGGAGCTGAAGACTGGATCAAACAGTAGGATCTTCTTCACTTGAAGTTTGGAAGAGATGCAGCTCAAGTTGCAGGAGTCCTCTATGGAAGGGGGAATAGTTCTCACCGGAGACCTCTTTCCTTTGAAAAATGCCCTTGAACAAATTGCTTTTGGGAAAGTGACGCCACAGTAAATGTCTCCTACTGTGTCTGCTGAGTCTCTGCTTGTACGGCCAAAAACAACCGCCATATCTGCTCTGTCAGGCTCCTTCTGTCAACAGTGCTTACACAAGTTTTATTTCATTAGAAAAAGAGAGAAGGAGCTGACATTGTGGCTAGGCTTATCATTAACATGTAGATTCCTGATACAGGTGAACTATGGTAGAGCTACATGATATTAATAGTAAGTCCCTCAGTAACTTCTGCTAGGCAGAACTGCATTTCAGGTCCTCTCTTAGTTCTCACTTCCCAGCACGATGCAGGGAATGTTACCAGAACCTCTGAAAATTAAAATACAGTGAACTTGCGCCCCTTTATTCCTGAACAACTTCATATACAGGCAGATTATAATTAAAGGTATGAAGAGTTCATGCATTAATTCAGGCCTGTTATGCTCCCTCTCCCCTCCACACACGGATGTAGTTATTTAGGAGTGAGAATAACAGATAATATTCATTTGAAGTAAGAACATCCACATAGGGAATTGATCAAGAATAGCTAGCAGAAGTGTGAATTTGTTTTCTTTCCATCTCCTCCATTTGCAATGAGTTCAATGACTGCAGAAATTACACCACGTCCTGGACAAACCATTAATTGTTAGTACTGGATTTGCAATATGAAGGGATGGTTCCCTCCAGGTTTTGAGGCCCTTGGTCAGTTCAAGCTTCTTTGCAAGGCTGTGGACTAAACCCATAAAACCTGCAGTCGTGTATGAAAAGCAGATGAGCTGTCTTGCAGGTGGCAATCCCAAGCCAGCAAAATGTGCAGTGGGCAACCCCTGTTGTTATGTTAGTCTTCTCACATCTCTGCCACAGCTGGCGATCTGTCAAGATTACCTAGGAGAGTTCCCAAATACAGCAAGTCAGAGCATGAGTGTCTACTCCTGCAAGAGGTTTTCCCCATTCTTCTACCTATCCTGTGGATAATAAGCTTATCTATAGGGCCCATAGGTGTGCCTAACTCTTCACAGATATTTAAAGATTGGCAAGCATTAACTTGCCAATCTCATTGCGGCAAAGTAGCTTAATTAACATATGTTTGTAAAACACTGAGGATAAGCCACCCACAGACATGTGCCACGTATTACTAAGTATCTGTTTAGACCCCCTTAAAGGAAACAAAACCAACAAAACCCCACTCTCATCTGCTGAAGGAAGAGCTGCTACCTGGAGACTTTTTTTGCTAGGGCCAGCTCACCTGACCACAGTAGGCATAGTTATCTATGAAAAGGACCATTAAACACTCAAAAGGCTGTTAAACATGAAACCACCTTTGGGCTGGGAGGGGTACAGTTCATCCAGTCAGTGAAAAAATAAAAATCTACAATGGAATTAATTACTTTTAGGTGCCAGGCACAGCTATTGAAAAGAGCAGTTTCCCAGTCCTTGCACAGTCTGTAGAGGTGTTTGTAGCAGCACAGAGAGGATGTGAAGTCGCACTAAATTGGAATGTAAGGATTTTACAGCTTCTGGGTCTTCTATATGACTGATCACACCAGTTGCTGAACAGGATTCCGGGGTGTGCATTTATTTCTGTGAGCAGGGAGCTGAGGAGATCACTCTCTGGAAAGTTTTCTGTGTTTCTCAGCAGATTTTGTTTTAACAAGTCTGTAAAAGTTGTGTGTATAGTGTGTGCTGGGGTGGGGGAGCAGGTGGAGGAGGAAATAACTGCTGAGTTAGAAAAGCAGAAAATACAGAAAGCACCAGGGGTGATGTCAGCTCTGAAGGGGATCTTTTCCTGGATGATCTGCCCTGAAAACTTCACCCACACCTAGAAAAACCTCGTCATTGCCCCCACCTATTCAACCTAAGCTCTTGTAGCATCACAGCTGGTTTTCTCGTCACCACTAACAGCCCTTTTCAGCTAAATAGGAGGAGCAGCCACATATTGTCTGGACTCTGGCTGCTTGCAGTCCAGGCTGGATGGTGTTGAGACCACAAAAAATAACCCCCCCCCCCCAAAACACCACCCCATAAACAAACTCGCTGCCCTGCGTTTAACTGGGGATACCTGCCCATGCAGGAGGGGTGGCTGTCACAGCATCAGGACCCACCTTCCTCTGAGACAGGGAATCAGACCCCTGGGACAGGACAAAGCAAACTACGGGTAGAAAAATCCGAATTTGGGGGGGGGGGGGGGGTGGGGGTGAGGAGGTGGTGCAGGGGTTTAACCCCATCCCAGGCATCAGCTCTGGCAAACCGTATCCTGACCGGCGGCAAACCGCAGGGAGAGCCCTGCCTGGTGGCCACCGACCAGCCGGAGGCCAACGCGCTCCCCTCCCGCCCCGGTTTTGGAGGGGGCCCTCGCCTCCCTCCCTCCCTCCCCACGCGCCCCCGGCCCAGGTGTGAAGGCGGGGGGCCGGGGCGGCCCGTCGAGGGCGAACTTCTTGGCGCGGCGGCGGCGGCCGGGCCCTACCTTCTGCGCCTGCTGGATCATCTCCCGCACCACCTCCTTCAGGTGGGGCGCGCTCTCCTCCTTGCGCGGGTGCGTGAAGAGGGCCACCCGGCTGATGCCCCGGTAGAAGGTCTTATCCGTCCAGCCCAAGTCCAACGGCGGCACCTCCGTGTCCGAGCACTCGGGCCAGTAGGCCAGCGAGAGGGTCTCGCCGCCGGGCCCCCGCGCCACCTTGCCACCTTCCCGGGGGTCGTCGTATCCCCGCCAGCCGCCCCGCAGGGCCTGCAGCTCCCGGCTGGAGAGAAAGTCGCGGAGCTGCTCCTTCCTCAGCGCCTCCCGGTAGGCCGCCTCGCCCCGGGTCACCAGCGCCTCCAGGGCCCGGCGCTGCTCCTCGCTGTAGTAGAAGCGGGCCTGGGCCTCCGTCACCTTCTCGTTGACGTGCGACTCGTCCAGCAGCAGCACCTGGGACTCCGCCATGCCGCCGGCACCCGCAGCGCAGCGCCGGCCGGCCGGGAGGCTGCGGGAGGAGGGAAAGGCGAGGCCTCACCTGCCCTGCCCGCGCCCGCCCCGACGGGTGGAGCGGCCGCACCGCCCTGCGCCAGCCCCTCGCGCTCCCTGGGGACACGGCTGTCCCCGCCGTGCTACCCCTCGCCCAGCCCCATGCGTGGCCCCAGCCCCTGGGGGAGCGGCGAGGGTGGCCCCCCCCACACCCCACACCCCCCCCCTCGCACCAGCATGGGGGGCCCCGACCACAGCGCTTGGAGGAGAACCAGGCCTGGGCTGCGGGTGTATTTTGGGGTGCAAATGCAAAAATATTTAAGAGTGTTTCCCCCCCTCCCCCCTTTTTTATTTTTTTTTTTTATTTTTTTTTTTCAGATGTGGCAGCCACCTGAAGGGCTCTCACGGGGAAAGGAGGGGGACATGCGTGGGGCCAGGGATGCGAGCAAGAGCACCGCGGTGGCCGCAAGCCACGGTCCGTCCGCTGCGGCCGACTGCTAGCTGGCCGTCTCCAAACCCACTTACAGAGCAGCAGCGGCAGCTCGGCAACTCCCAAAAAGCAGGAGGTGGGTACCGTGTTTACAGATGGGAAAATGACGGAGCGATTTGCCCAAGGCCACCCAGCAGGCTGGTGTCAGAGCTGGGAATAAACCAGCCCTGCTCCTAGTCTCTGGCTGAGCGCGTGAATCAATACCCCCGGCTCAATACAAGTGTCCCAGCTGAGACACTAGGGGCTGTAATGTTAAATTACGATTTTTGCATGGTATGTGGTAGTTGCTAGGGGCCCTAATCAAGATTCAGGCCCCGCTGCGGTTTGCAGTGCATACACAAAGGATAAAAAGCCGTGCTTCCCCCTTGCAGCCCAGGGACAGGGATGAGCAAGGAAATGGGGATAAAGGCAAGACAGTGGTGAAATACAAATATTCAGAGGCATCTGCAGCACTTTACGTATGTGATTAGCCCTAAGTGCTCACGTGCACAAAAAACTGTAGGGACAGAGTTGCTGGAGCTGCTCTTTGTCTCCTCTCTATAAGCAGTCATCTGTGCTCAGCGCAAATCCAGTTAAAAATACAAGGATGAGATGGGGCACTGGAGCTCATCCTGTGCTGTTCCTCTTCTTTAGGTAGAAGGGAGAATTTTAGTATTCCAGACTGTCATCAATAGCTTTTCCTAGCATGAAATTCACTTAAAATTTGAAATTGCACTTTGCAAAGGTCTACTCCTCTGCCTACCAAGTCCCCTTTAAAAATTAATTTCAATATAGGTTCTTTTAGCCTGATTTCCAATGGAAATGAGGCTTATGTGGTCATGGTGTCTGCATTTGTCTGCCTGTTTGTCCATCTCTCTAATAACTTTTGAACCCACTGGCTGATTTCAAACAAGTTTGGCAAAAGCGTAATTACATCCCTACAGATTTTCTGAAAATTAATGGCCTGATTGCAAAAAGAGACCCTATCACAGTCTCCAAAGGGAAAGTTACAACATGGGTTCATGCCTTATTAGATTTCAGATATTCCATAAAAGTAAAAACACTAATAAGTGCCTAATCTGTATGAAAAGCTTCATATGAAGTTTATGCCATCTTAGACACCCCAGTCAATCAACCACAATATAGAAATACACAGGAGATGTGCCTTTGTTAGTGACAGTGCTTACTAAACTACTTTTTGGTGTGTATTCTTTTTTTTTTTTTTTTTTTTTTTTCACTCTGTACCAGGGGCTGCCATCAGCTCATCAGCTCTGCTATTTCATGTATGGCTAAATAAAATCTCTTTAATCCTAGGTGCTCTATTCATTTGTAGCTGCGCAACGTAATCCTTTGTGTTGAGCTAAAGCTCCCACATGAAAGCAACAGTAGATTCACAAATATATGTTTAGTTTTATATTTAAAGCAAGTGAACATTTCCCACATCCAAGTAAAAGCAGCAGAGATTTTTCAGTTTGTTGTGATGAAATGTTTAGCCCCCATCTCTCACTGTAAAAGACAGTGTTGTCAGTGTGTTGGTATGATAAACAGGAGCAAGGACCTGTGCAAAATCTGAGAGATACCCTTTCCCAATGCCTGTATGTGTCCCAGCCCCTCTCCCCATTCTCGCAGCAGTACATTCCAACCAAGCACATTTCCTATATGGAGTTTTTGTAAGGTCTGATGATTCAGTACCTTTTGATATACCTTGACCCTCCGGCTGACAGCCTCACCTCAAAGACTGGTAAAAAGGGCTGTGCTAACAAACTGCCTGCCCTCTCTGTCACAGAGGTAACCCAACCCTTTGGGACTGGAGAAGAAGAAACGTGGTAGGCAGGGTGGGGGGATGTATTTGTGCCTGGCCCTGCCCCTCTGGGATCAAGGAGCGAATTGCAGTTTCCCTCTCTAGGAGAGGGTCATTATTGTTTCAGCTCAGGTTTTCCTCTCTGCCCTTAGCACTGGCTCAAGAGAAAGGGGAAGCCTGCTTTTGGACTGGGCTGAGGCAGCTGCAAATCCGTGCAAAACTACACTATCAGTCCTTTGATTTATTTTGTTCCTGGGGATTACTCGCTGGAGGGGCTGCGTGTAGGTAGGCAGGGTTGGGTCTCTTTGCTTCTTGCCTTTGTTTGGGTGTCATCCCAGCCAAGTCCTGGTTAAGGTCTTGCTTACTTTTCTGGTCTGGTTCCAAAACGTTCTCCAAAGGATGTCAACTAACCTATCAGGAAATATTACCTCTTATTGTAACCCTCCCCCAACCCCATTACAGTGTTTTAAATCTTCTGCCTTCAAACACCTCCCACGTATATTCTGGTTACTTGGGCCTAATTGCTTCACTTTCCTTTGCAAGGCAGTGCAGGTTGTGCATTAGATAAAGATATGACACCTTATATTTAGCATTAATTGTAACTGCACTTGTCCTGAGCATACATCTCTCTTGCCAGTCCTTCCTGTGTAATTTCAGTCCCTAAATAGCCCACCTCATGATATATTCTTTGATAAATTTCCCAGCAGTGTTTTTCTTGTGACAAACTGCTACAAGCTCTTGTTATAAACCTTTTGGTGCTCAACTCTTCAGGAATAAAATTCTGATGCCTTCCCCCCCATCTACATCTTATTTCTCCCCAAGAGCAGTCAGCATCTACATGCAAAATTGGAGCAAAACCAAGGGCAGGTATTAAAAAGAAAGTATCATTTTGTAATATAGTGGTTGAGAGCTGTATTTTAGAAGCCTTTTTTTGAGGGGCGGTATCCTCCAAAACAAAATGACATGATCTACCATACAACCTTTTGGGTTATTGCTTTGTTTTGTTTTTATTTTTTTTTTCCTCTCCATAAAAAGCAGCAACAGGTTAAAAATGAGTTTTGCAAAGAAAACAGGATGGCTTAAGGGATGGAGGATACAAGAGTGTTTTCCACTTCTGTGTCCCAGCTGCAGTTTAGCCTGAGGTGATGGGGCTTTGCCATCTTGAAATGGAAGGGTAAATAAATAGGTGCCTGTGCCATGGTTGTTATTAAACACTACACTCCTTCTCTGTGCTGGCTAGCACCACAACAAGACTCGCAAAGGCTTGGTGGAGATTGCATCTTCTTGACTCTCTTCTCTGCAGCCAGGATCCAGGAGTCTGTGGCAAGACTATTACGTGCGCAGCAAGCTGCGCTCTGCTTGTCCTCAGACTGAAATTTCATTTGCAAGGGCTGCCAGCCCAGCGCAGGAATGGCTGTATTAGTCACGTCCAAGTACTGGCAAAGCTAAAAAGCCAGAAACAAGGCAATTTCAGGGTGGAGAGGAAGAAGGGTTTGCCTTCACCGTTTCCCCTCCAGCGACCCAAAGAGCTGCAGGCGATGGAAGGTAGGCGTGTCACTTCTGCAGCAGCAGTGACAGACTGCAATCTGGAGGATGAAGAAATGCTTTCAGATGCTTCCTTTCTGTCATATTACAATGCCTCGGGGAGAAAACCTAGCTGCTGAATTGGAGAATTGCTGCAACTGAGTCAAGTGCTTCTGGCCTCCCACTCAGTTTTTCAGTTGTTGTTTGCATGTGAGAGTAAACAGGTAAGAGAGTCCTCTGAAGAGAGCAGAAAGGAACAACTGTGTTTGTGGGCTCATTTCTTGCAGCAAGGTATTTGCTGACTGAGCACGCACAGAATGGCCTTTAGCTGTTTTCCCCGGCTGCTCCCATTCACAGGGCAAGAGTTTGAGACAGTTTACTGTAAGAAATAGCGCTGACCCAGGTCTCTTGCTTAATCTTTCAACTCACATATAGGCAAGGACTCAAAACTGGTTGCAATTCAGAATTCAGATGAGCTACTCTGCGGGGCCTTGGTCAAGTCAACTGCTGTGCCTCAGTTCCCTATCTCTAGATGAGGAAAATACTACTCTGCTTCACAGGACTGCTGCGGGGAAGAGCTTAAAAAAATAAAACCACAAACCAACATCATCTGCTTTTACTTCGGTTTCTCCTGCTAAGGGGTGGAGAAGGTAAAAAAAAAAAAAACAAAACAACAACAAAAAAAACCCCAAACAGCTGTAGAGTCCCTTTGCACATGAGCCAAACCGTGAATGGAAGCTCTTGCTAAAGAAAACAGTGAGGAATAAGCAATGCAGTCTCTGAATAGGATGCTTAATTGCAGCTGTAATTATGTAGCTCTCAAATCACAGTGTGCTTTAAAGACAAAGAAACACCAGGAGTGGGGGCAGGGGTAAGTTAATGCAGCAATAAGTCTACAGCATCGTGTGCTTACCTGTGTACTAGTCAACTGTCAGTGTGCATTGCTACTGACTGTTTGGAGAAGAGAACGCTCAGGTGAGACTTGATGGGAAGAGAAGAAGAGCACAGAGGGAAGGCTGGGGTGGGTGTCCCAGGCAGAGGCTGGAGGGACGAGGAGCAGACTGGCAGGAAGCAATTAATGGGACAATCCTGATGTGGTGGAGCAGACCATCAACCAGTGCAGCAAGATGAGGTGGGAGATGGAGTTACGTGCTGATGACAAGGACCAGATGTCCCAATGCCATGTGGTGGATAAGAAGGAGTCAGTGGAGGAGATGCGAGAGTGCTGGGATGTGTCCAAGAGTGAAGAAATTCATTTGAAAAGCTGCATAAGTGGAGAAGAAGAGAGCAGTGGGAAGCAAA